AAATTGGACAAAATCTCATGCCATAATGGATTTCAATATTTGATTTTACAAGATCTTTTCCAATCTTTTCCATGTGCATTTTGGTTCAAATCTGATCAATTCTCATCAAAACTTGCTTAATTAAGAAGTGCACGAAATATTGACCTTGGAATGTGCATAAAAAGATTTTTTTAGGTTAGGTTTATATTTTTCATGTATTAAAATGATTTAAATGAATATAAATTAATATTAATTCAAATAAATAATTAAAAAATATGAAAATACTTCCCTTTGGGCCTAATGGTCGTGCATAGGCTTGGCATGAAGAAACTTGGAAGAAAAATGGGCCCAATAGCAAATTTAGGCCTTTTGCATCAATGTTGACTTTTCAAAATTCCCAAAAATTTCCCAACTTCCACAAGGCATAACTTGGTCAATTTTTAAGCTTTTCACATGTTCTTGGACATTTTGGAAAGGTCTTTGAGTCCTCTAACCAATGCCTTTGGTCCCATGTCATTTTGATTTACCAATCTCAAGTTATGGCCTTTGACTTAAAGTCACTTTTTGTTGACTTTTGAAAATGACCTATAATGTTGAAATTGATAACTTTTTGTGAGAGCATTTCTTGGACTTGGAACATGAAGATGAATTGTAGGAAATGTCTTTCTCTTCAAAATGAGATTTGGATGGAATTTTTCTGATAATCCATGTGAAAGTTATGCCCTGGTCAATTTCAGTTGACTTTTTCAGCTGTCCAAATATAGTAACTTTTGCATCTTTGATGATTTCTGAGCCAAATTTTGAGAATCATGATCAAGCATTGATCAAATGATGTTTGTGGCTTCAAAATGATATATTGACCAAAAATTTGAACTTTTGACTGTCAAATGACCATTTTGCCCCTACAGTTGACTGTAGTGCAATCTAGGGTTTTGACTGTGCAATTTTGAGCTGAATGCCTTGAAACTTGACATGAGGATGCTTGACCACATTTGTAGGCATATGAGACTTGATTGGGCCTTTGAAAAGTTCCTTTGCTTGACCAGAACTCAAACCCTAGTTTTGACTGTGTAGGAGACAGTTGAACTGCATAGTCCTTGGGGAATTTTGTAACCCTGACTTTGACAATTCTTGATGAATATGGGAGGGCAAATTTTGGGGTGCAACAATGTGCTATGCGAGATACTTTGAATACCGTGTGGGTTCATTCCATCAGTAGACAATGCCAAGCGAAGGTTTCTTGCTTCTTTTCCAAATTCAGGATAATCATTATCAATTTTCATCGACTGTGGTGAATCTGCCGGATGTCGAAACTTTCCATCAACAATTTTTTCATCTGCATGCCAAGTTAAGTGTCTTGAATCGGTTTCACTATGATACATCCGTATAAATCTAGGAATTATAGGAAAATACCATAAGACTTTTGCCAGAGATAACTTTTTCTTATATCGAGGGGCATCGCATTTAGGACACTCATTTAACGATGCATACTCGTTTCGAAACAAAACGCAATCTTTTGGACAGGCATGTATCTTGTCATAGCTCATGCCAATAGAGTACAACATCTTTTTGGCCTCATACGTTCGATTGGGGAGAACATTATCCTCTGGTAGCATATCTTTCATAAGGGCTAATAACTCTGTGAAACTTTTATCCGACCATCCATTGCCCGCCTTTAAGTTGTACAACTTTAATACCGCAGACAATCTTGTGAATTTTGTACAACCATTATACAACGGTTTCTCTACATCGCTTACCAACCTCTCGAACATTTTGGGACAATCATTAAGATCTTCTTCAAGTGCTTCTGCAATCTCTTCAACTCGATCATAATCGTATGTATCTGTGCCATTGTCGTTTGAAGCATAGGTCCTATTATCCCCCGATTCATCATTCCCGTCACTTTTCTCACCATGCATATTCCAACATGTATAACTTCTATCAATTCCATACCGTATTAAATGTGATGCCAACTGAACCGCGTCAACCCGATTCCCATAACAGCAACACAAACAAGGACATGTCATTCAACCGGGGTCTTCGGTGTGTGCAACAGTAAACTTAACGAATTCTGATACCCCGTTCTCGTACTCTTTCGACAATCGATTGGAATACATCCATGTCTTATCCATGGTTTACGGTTTCTGAGTCAATCTGAGCTAAATGATAAATTAGAAAACAAAACCAATACTCAAAACTTACACTTGCTCTTGCACAATCATATAACAAAACCAATACTCAATACTTTTCACTAAATTCATTTTATTCTATCAACTACTTTAGTACACAAGTATAACACAAGAAACCATAAACAAGAAACTATCATTGCTCAAAATCAATCATAAATTATGTGTGTACTCAAACTCAAAAAAGATAAAATTTTGCAGTTCAATTGTACTATCAATGGAATGTATGCTACAAGTAATGATGAAAATAGGGGAAATGTACATTTGCATGGATGCTTCCTTCATTCTCGTAAAGTCTTTTGACTTCTAAACATATATAGCGAGGCTAAATATTTTGGTTTACAATAGTGCATATAGTACATATTTAACTCATATGTCTGTTATATGTGAAAACTTAGAGATGACATTTACATTGTGTTGTATGAGAGAAAAAATCGTACACACACTCTACAAAACTAAACTATAGAGTAAGCTATGGAGCAGGAAATGAATGGTATTTACTATCAATATGTTGTAGGCAAACAACAAGGCAAAACCACAATTATGGTCCAATCAAAACCCAACCACAACAAACATTGTATCTGCGATAATATTGTTAATATGGAATATGAAAGAATCTGCATAAACTAGCGACTCTGACCATCAGACCTGCAAACTCCAACACATATGCATTCCCCTACCACTATAGAAAAAAGTAATGCTACACAAAATTCCTATATCGAATTAACTAAAAGAATTATTAGAAGATAGTCACATCTTTATTCATACAAAACTATTCTAGAAATTAGAATCAAAGCAAGCATAGAACAATTTATTCATACAAAACTATACTAGAAATTGAAATACCTAGAGCTGAGTTGTGTAACTTTGTGTTGTATATTGTTGTGATTTCTGATGCAGCAAACTTTGTGATTTCACCTTGCGTTTCTCCTGTGGCAAGTGGTGGCCGTTGTTCTGATGAAAGAATACTGATGAACGGAGGCGGAGGTCCTGATGAAGAAGTCCTGAAACTGCCCCGATGGTCCTGAACAAGAAGACGGAGGCAGAGGTCCTGATGACGAATAAAAAAGTGGCAAGTGGTGATCGTGACGAAAATCTGCTAGTAGATGCTAACGGCGGCAGAGCTCTGGTTTAGGGCTTTGATGATTTCGTGAAGAACAATAGAAAAGTGATGATACGAATTTTTGATATTTATTATAAAACTACCTACGGAAGCGCTTTTAAAAGCGCTTTCTAAAGGTCACCTATAACAGCGCTTTTTAATGTAAAAGCGCTTTCGTAGCATATCCTATAGCAGCGCTTTTAAAAGCGCTTTCTAAAGGCCAGCTTTAGCAGCGCTTTGTAAAAGCGCTTTCTAAGGCTAACCTTTAGCAGCGCTTTTGAAAAGCGCTTTCTTAAGGTACCCTCTGAAAGGCACCATTTAGCAGCGCTTCTCAAAAAGCGCTTTCTAAGGGTGACCTTTAGCAGCGCTTTTGAAAAGCGTTTTCTTAAGGCACCCTTTGAAAGCGCTTTTTTTAAGCGATTTTTTTTAAACCTACAGCAGCGCTTTTTCCTAAAAGCGCTTTTGTATGTGTGCTGCTAAAACTTATTTTTGGCGTAGTGCACGCACTAACAGAATCAATTTAAAGTATAACCAATTTAAAATATGATGTTTCCATGTTCTCATAGGATATATAGGTTCTAATAGGACAAAAAGAGTCTTGGTTTATCCTTGTCTATATTATTGTGTAACTTGTGTTTTTTCATGTTAATGTTGGATTTTGGTTTCTATACTGTATTGTTTGATTTTATTTTAGTTTTGTGTATTTTTAAGATCAAGAAACTATTTAAATTTTTTTCATAAAATATTTTTTTTAGAATGGACCTATTTAGGATGGGTAGCTTGCAAGCTAGATAATGTTAGTTTGGATAATAAAATTAAAATTCATATTTAATTTGGATTTTTTAAACCCAATCCTGAAAAATCTTAAAATCCATCCGAGTCAATTTATTTAAGATCAAATAGCTCGTTTTGACAACTCTACTTTCAAGCTATTCTAAATCAGAACAAATATTATAATAAATATTTATTTTATAAATTACAAATTGATTATTTATTAAAAAATAGTTCTGTCTTGAGCTAGAGTTCTAAGTCAAAGCAATAGATGTGTTAGTTGTAAAGGGCCATAAATTAAAAAAGAAACTCGTGTTGTGGAATCATGGTATAAACACATATTTTGGAGGATACAATAGCAAAATAAGTTTTCAACACATGACATCACAGGTGTCCCACATTGTCCTCCCCACGTCCCTTTTAGATTTTATTTTTCAATGCATCGTTGTTTTTCTCTCTCCTCTGAACCTCCCTCCCATCGACAACACCCAGCACATCATACAAACTTTCGTATCATCCGTTTCTCAAACGACACAAATTCTTGCATTGCTTTTGCAAATTAATAACCAAAAAAAAAAACATTAAACCCTCAACCTTAAGATTCAATTCAACCCTTGGTTTTGTTACTTACACTACCTTTGCATGAATTGGTTCATTCCCTTCACGTAACGTTCGTGGTGGCGTTACATTTGTATTATCATAAAATAAAAATATTCATCAAATGTTTTGAATCTCTCCTTATTCATTCATAATTGTAACAACATTGTTACAGAGAGAATTTTATGTTTCTGAGATCCCGTGGAATTTTCAATGTTCGTGGGATTTTGGAAAAATTTAGTGTTTTGTCAAGTTTTGATATAATTATTTGGAAGATAAAGGGTTTTTCAGAATTGGAAGGGATAAAAAAATTCAATGAGATATGAACAGGGAATTCTTGGGTTGTGTTGCTGAATTTAGAAGCAATGGAATTGACAAGAATCGGTTTTACTGTTACTTATGTCATTCTCCTTTGTGCTCTGGCTCATGGGGGCTCAGAGGGGAAAGAAGATGAGCTATGTACAGATGGTGCTGTTTCCTCACCTTTCCTCAACCTTCATCGAAAACAGGTATATATATATGTGTGTACATTTACTGTGAAGCACAGAGACATAGGACACGTTAGTGATACAGACACGGACAAGTCTTTTTTTCCGAGGAGTCGGTGCTATGTATATCAGAGTTTTTTCTTTTATACCAATACATGTGATATTTGGTTTTCCTAGTTATTGGCTATTTGCTTAGTACCAACCATGTCTGGTTGATAATTCCGTGTTCTTTCTCTGCTCTATAATTCTTAAAGAATATTGAACTCACTCTAATGTACTTCACACATGTATAATTTATAGGATGTATTATTAATTAAAATGATGCTAGTGACCATTTTAGGTTTGTTTCCATTAAGGTTTGAACTTGGTCTTTTGAGGTTATATATTAGGTAGGTCTTTTCAAGTTTTTGGAGGTCCTGTGTAAGTTAGTCATACTTCAATATTTTACAAAACAACTAACGATTTTATTTAGTCATGGTTTAGCCATGACAAATCTATTATAAGATCCTATTTATTCACAGTTTAACCGTGACGAATTTGAGACCTTGTACTATAGACCACCTTGCACGTCTTCAAAGACGGGTATAACTCTTATTAGTTAGTTGGTATCTGATATACATGAGATGCCTATGATGTAGAGTACCCATTTCTACAACAAATCTAAGGACTTCAATTGATTGAATTTTGTTAATTTTTATTTAAATTAGCATGTTTATTGTCTATGTTGTTAATGGTTAATCAATAAACATGAGTCTTCTATTATTTCACTTTTAGGATGAATCACAACTCTAAAAGTAGTATAAAATTTTAAGCTACTCTCTGACTTATATATATTACTCGAGGAATGTTGCACCGATACTTTATATTGAAGGTGTTTGACTCATGTTTGTGTTCGCCAGACACTAATATTTACAATTACATACAATCACTTTTTATTTTTTCTAATTATTACTGGTGTCTATATGTCAATATTGGAACTTGTGTCTCTGTCTGGATCAGTGTTTTACATGGAATCATGGAACATATTAGTTTAATCTTTTGATAGTACTATTCTCTCATTTGGTTGATACAGGCGGAGAATGTGCGGAAACATTCCAGGAAAGAATTGACAGAGAAGAGCAATGATGTTGAAGACATCAACTTGCATCCGTTGGAAGGAAGCAGTGACATGAAATCTATTCTTCCAATAGAAAACAACATTCACAAAACAACCAAATCATTACCTCCCCATAAGAACAAAAAAGTATTGGACTGCATAAAAACAAGTGCTACTCCTCCGGCACCTATTTCCGGAAAGAAATTGTCTTCGAGATTCTTGCTAACAAAACATTCTAGATCAACCTTGGCTTTAAAAAACAATCATTATTATCATCGTCGTCATCGAACAAATTTAATCGCTGAAACACCACTTTATCATATATCACCATTGTCACCATTGTCACCAAGGTCTAGTGCTAATAGTCCATCCCCCGGGCATTCATTGGTAGCACCAATTCGTGTTTCAACACCAACAATTTCTTCAACACCATCACCTACTCCTGTTCCTGTTCCTGTTCCTAGTACACCATCACCTACTCCTGTTCATGTTCCTAGTACACCATCACCTACTCCTGTTCCTGTTCCTAGTACACCATCACCTACTCCTGTTCATGTTCCTAGTACACCATCACCTACTCCTGTTCCTGTTCCTAGTACACCATCACCTGTTCCTGTTCCTGTTCCTGTTCCTAGTACACCATCACCTACTCCTGTTCCTGTTCCTAGTACGGGAATCATGTACTTACCACTCCCTCCAGGTATTTTTGCACAGACTCCACCGCCTCCACGAAAATCTGCTCCTCCATCTCATATAACAAGTGTTCCGATAACTTCGCCGCCTTCACTAAACCAAGATGAGAAAAAGAAGAAAGCAATTATTTTAGCTGCATCTGTATCAGGAATCATAGTCTTGATAGGATTGTCGCTTTGCTATCGTGAGGCCAAAACCGGTAAAGTGGAGAGAGATGAGAGCCATTTGCTCATATTAACCTCAAATGATTACTCTGGAGGTATGCTTATATATATTCATGCATTTTTCGTCGACCTAGTATATATATGTTGATCAAACTTACAAACTAGTACTTGAAATTGTAAGTAGGTGTATATTTAGAGCGTCGTATAACTCTTGAGCCACGTATTTTATTTTTGTTACTTCAGGTCCACCGAAGATTGTCCGTTTAGGAGATACTAATACAGAAGAATCGGGATCTGGTGTTGTTATAAACAAAGGAAAGAATTCGTCTAGTGGAAGAAATTGGTCCATGAAGGCTGGAGATAATAACAATATCACAGTAGCTGAAACATCGACATCAGAAGATATCGGACTAGTAACAGCAAGTTCTTCTGGAATATCAGCCCCTCCGCCTCCTGGCCCACCACCACCTCCTCCTCCACGGCCACCTGCTCTTGCATTTCGTCCTCCACCACCTCCAAAATCCAGCCATCCACCACCTGCTCCTCCTCCCAAACCAATGGCTGGTAAAAACAAAGCTGTACCTCTTGGACCCCTAAAACAAGGAAGTTCTAGTGATGGTGATGCTCCAAAGCCTAAACTAAAGCCGTTCTTTTGGGACAAGGTTAATGCAAAACCTGATCAATCAATGGTGTGGCATGAGATCAATGCAGGGTCATTTGTGTAAGAACAGTATCTCTTATCAAATATCAAATTTTCATTAGCACACAAGCATGATTGGATTTGCTTGTTCGAGCTTATTTGTTGGCATAAACACTTGTAAAATTGTTTGAAAATCGTATGAAAACAGCTCATGAGCACGTCTATAAGCTGTTTTTCATAAACACTTATATGATAGCCTCTTATGTTATAAGCGCTTAATACGATTGCACTGACCTTTATGACTACTTATCAGGTTCAATGAAGAAATGATGGAGTCTTTATTTGGTTGCGCCAACCAGAATAAAAATGAACGTAGAAAAGATTCACCTTCTCTAGATACTTCAGTGCATTATATTCAGATTATTGACCCTAAGAAAGCACAGAATTTATCAATTCTGTTACGTGCTCTGAATGTGACAACAGTAGAAGTAGTTGATGCACTAAACGAAGGTACCATGATAATATGATACACTTTCAAAATAATCACTGTTTTATTAATGTGTTAGGTTTAGGACTCACATATTGGACTTAGACTGGTTTTATTGATTGAATCAGGTAACGAGATTCCTGTGGAGCTTATCCAAACATTATTGAAAATGGCACCAACACAAGAAGAGGAACTGAAACTTAGGTTATTCTCTGGAGAACTGTCTCAACTAGGTCCAGCTGAGAGGTTTCTCAAAGTACTGGTTGACATTCCGTTCGCTTTCAAACGTCTCGAATCTCTCATGTTCATGTTAATTCTTCGAGAAGAGTCCTCAAGCATCAAGGATTCTTTCGAAACATTAGAGGTAATCACTCAAACTCCAACAAATTGTATTTTAAACCTTGATGTTTGTACCCTCATGCTAACTATTTCGAAGGATTTCGGTTAATTATACTATTGCATTTTATCAATGGCAGGTTGCTTGCGACAAGCTGAGAAAAAGCAGGTTATTCTTAAAATTACTAGAAGCAGTACTCAAAACCGGAAACCGAATGAACGATGGTACATATCGCGGTGGTGCTCAAGCATTTAGGCTCGACACACTTTTAAAACTCTCGGACGTAAAAGGAACAGACGGTAAAACAACGCTATTACACTTTGTGGTTCAAGAAATTATACGTTCAGAAGGAATAAGAGCAGTAAGAACCGAAAGAGCAAGCAGAAGCCTTTCAAGCATAGGAACGGAGGATGTAGATTATGAAAACGAAGAATCAGAAGAACACTATCGTAGCCTTGGACTTCAAGTAGTTTCAAGCTTAAACAGTGAACTTGAAGATGTTAAGAAAGCGGCACTAATAGACGGTGATGCATTGAGTACCGCGGTTTCGAAAATCGGTCATTCGTTGGTTAAGAGCCGGGACTTTTTGAACAATGATCTCAAGAATTTGGAAGAAGAGAGTGAGTTTCAAATCTGTTTAGAGAAGTTTATGGAACATGCGAAAGAAGAGGTGACGTTGCTTGTTGAAGAAGAAAAGAGGATCATGGGGTTGGTTAAGAGTACAGCAGATTATTTTCATGGGAATGCAGGGAAAGATGAAGGGCTGCGATTGTTTTTGATTGTGCGCGATTTTTTGATAATATTGGATAAGGTTTGCAAGGAAGTGAAAGAAGCTACATTGAAGGCTATGAAGGCTTCTAACAAGAAAGAAACTCCGTCACCGTCAGTGTCAGTTCCGTCTTCTCCGGATACACGCCAACGGTCGCCGTTGCAGCAGCAGCAGTCTTCTGATCTACATAGGCGATTGTTTCCGGCTATTGCAGGGCGGAGAGTGGATTACTCTAGCTCAGACGACGATGATGATGATTAGACAGACGATTTTTAGGGATGACGACGAGGAGAGTGGATCAATAGTGTTTAATGTGATTATGATGATGAGTTTTATGTGACTGCTAAGCAAAGTTAAGGAATACAGAAGCTTAGCATGATAATGAATTTATTGTGTGATAAAAATTGTCTCTGATTTATGAATTTAAGGAAGTGTACTAATGTGTATATTTTACCATGGTCTGTCAATGTTAGTTCTAAAATGTACTTATTGTGTGGTATTTCTCATCAAATTCTGATTTATTATTATAGCCTTCATTCACCAACAAGATCGGGATCTGGTTTCGATCTCAATCGCGTAAAGACTTTTGCGATTTCGATTGGTACAAATATTATGATACTGAATGTGGTCGTCGTAGTGTAAATTAACCACAATTTCTTTTTCATCATAAAATTGGTGAATAATAGTATCGGTATCGACACCTTTTAATACCATTTTGGCGCAACCATTTTGGCGAAACGGAAATTTTTAAAACCGTGATAACAAATATGATTTTTTTTTTTTTAAATGAGTAAAATATAATAACACCAACTGTTCAAAGGAATTTGTGATCTAAACATATCTCAACTAGTGATCAATTTTTGAAAAACTTCACCATGTCACTTTCAACTTCTCATAACGAAATTTGATCCAAACTCAAAGTGTTTGTCTTTAATATATGCATATTAGAGTAAGTTAACTATGGTTTAATTATACTATAATTGGTAATCTGTTGTAACTAAGTTAAGAATGTAGCAGGTTACAATTCCACACCTGTGTGTATAGCTGAGCTAACATAAACAGAGTACATATTATTTTAACATTAGTTTAACCTTTTTAAAAGTTTGTGTTAGTTTAACCCCTATTCGCTCATTAGTTAGTGGATATTTCATGCATACATATTGTAGATAGAGTTGCTCATTAGTTAGTGGATATTTCATGCATATATATTGTAGATAGAGTGGCTCCAAAGTGATTGAAAGCTGACCGCCTTATAATCATGTTAGATGAGAAAGATGCATTTATAACCAAATATTTTACCTTAATTTATTTGGTGCTATCTTCAACTCCAAATATAGTCTTCAGGGTAATATAACCCTTCACCTGCACTTGCTCGTTCGAAAGTTTATCAACGATCCTTGAAAAGCTTTGAGGTTGTTCATGTTCTGGTGAAGCTTTTCAAAGGCGTTCCAATAGAGAATGTCCGCCGAACTTCCGTAATCAAACAACACCCTCTTAACCTTCCAATCATCACATCTTAGAGTTATTACCATAAGTTCGTCATCATACAGGTGGATGTCTGCGATGTCCTTCTCAATGAAGACGATCTCATATTCTTGAGCCTCTTTATCGCCAAAATTAGAGCTGGTGGACGAGCCTTCAAAGGTTATGACGAGCATATCTTCTGAGGGCGGAGCTGGTCTCTCCGACCCCTGGCGAATCCTCCTGTGATAGTATTGAGGGTGTAGCGTAAATTTTTTCCTCACCCCCTTGCTTGGTTCATTGTCTTTTTCAGACCCGAAACTCCCATAAACATCTCTCCCTTGAGAGTTAGATCCTTTTGGCCTTTGGAAGGATTCGCCCCTGACATATTTCTTTAGACGGCCTTCTTGAATCAAGCGTTTTATTTCTTTCTTGAGTTGATATCATTCTTCAGGTGATGCCCCTTAACTTTGTAGAATTTCCACCATCTGCTAGGCGCAGACCTCCATGACATCTGACTTGGGCGTTGATGGTTGTGGAATGTCATGCATGTGGAGTACCTCCTCCATATTTGTTCATGGCGATTGTTTATAGGTGTGAAACTTTCTGCAGGTTTTTCGCTTCGCTTGAACGACATCATGTCTCTGATGGGCGAGGTGTAATGATTCTTTCGTGACTATTGTGAGCTATCATGATTACTAGTGACACACTCATTGACATTTATAGTCTTCTTTTCTGCGTTGCTTTCGTCGCCCTTTACATAGCATTCTGCATATTTCACCACCCCAACCAAGGAAACTGCGGGCCTCTGAGCCAGGGATTCATTCAAATGTGCTACCCCCAGTCAATTTTGATATGCTCCTACGAATATTTTCTGGTTAGGTGGACGACCTTGATCATTGCCTTGTTGAAGCGGGTTAGGTACTCCCTCAAATATTTAAAGGGGCCTTAACAAAAGATAAAAAGGATAGTGGCAACCATCTTTCTTGTTAGATGACAACAACTTATCTAAATGTGGGTGAATAGATCCCAATGAAAATTTTACTTAAAAACTTGTTCTAAAAAATTATGCAAAAATTATTGCAAGCGGAAGTCGTATATGTTAGTACCAAGGTTTTGAGATTAACAATTTTGGCCTAAAACATGGTTCTGATCAGATATCGAACAGGATGTCATGACATCGTGTTTTCATGTGCAGCAGTCAAGGCGCTATTGTATTTTTAAATCTTGTTAGATTTCATTTGTTTCTGTTATATTTTCTTTGAGTATGTATTAGAGATTTTCGCAGGTCAAGAGATTTATTTTGGAACAAGATTATATCTCTAGCTGTACAAGAAGATACTGATTTAGGCCTTGAGACAAATTAAGAAAATATGTATCAGTTTGATCCAAGATCGAAGGAGATTGTTTGCACAATTGGTGCATCGCTCAACTTATGAATCAGAATACCGAAGCCCATAGACTACATAGGTGTATAAGTAGAGGAATTCTAATATAATGTATTTTAAGTTTTCAACAATAGTAAAATTAGCGGAAGCATAAGTATTTTGTTTTGAGAGTGTCTCGTACATATTGTAAGTCACCCATGTATCTTATAATACTATGTGGTAGACAGATTATTACATGACAGTTTATCAAGTTATTATTCTCACTCGAATCTTTTAAGCAAGAGTGTGCGTTATTGTAATGGAAGTATGATCTTTTAAATTGAGTTGTTTTTTGTTGCAGTTGTTGGGATTGTGACTATTAGGTATCACTGAGGTGATTTAGGAAGTGAGATAGCGATTTCTCATATCTAGGGAAGACCTAGGTAGAAGTTACACTGTATAGAAATTAGGCGATAAGTTGTAAAGTGAGAGTTTAGCTTTGAACTAGTACTACTGATAGTGGATTTCATTCCTGACTTGGTAGCCCCTAGAGTAGGTGTGTTTGCACCGAACCAGGTTAACAACTCATTGTGTTATTTATTTTTCTGCAGTTCTATTTTATGTATCATATTCAGCTCGATTGATCTGGTTTGTTATCAGATGTTGTAACATCTGTCTCGACATCATCTGCTATCATGACAATTTTGTTTGTATGTGTTGCCTGTACCAAAATTTCAATTGGTATTATAGCAGGAGCCCTGGTCTATTGGGTGAGCTTCATGGAGGTATATTTCTGGTATTATCTATCTTATGGAAGCTGGAGTGATACCATTATGGTTATCAATGGATAATAGAACTCTGAATTTTATCTGGTTAGAAGAATCCTGATGATTGGAAGACAGAAGAAAAGATCAGTTATCAATGCCATTATCATGAAGTTGATAAGTGTTTTATTCCTGATTGTACACCACTTGAATTGGGGACAACAATACTTAGGAATTTCTCAAGTCCACTCATAAAGGCACATCTAAGTGTGTTTGGACGAAAAAGTTCAGATGTGAGTGTGATACGGTAGGAGAACTGACTTGCGTATTTTGCGTTATATCGCAAATGTTGCGGTTAGCAAGAGTCACCACCGAATTTTATTTTATCCAAAAGGAAAGGTGAAAAAGTACAATAAAGACCTTTGAGATTGTTTCTTGAGTTCGGGGGGTATATTATGAAAAGGGAAGGTATTATCACCCTTTTCATCCATGGTTTTCCATTGGATCTTAGTTACTTGCTAGATCACTTGCTTTTGTTTGAAAATGTGGTTTGTATGATTTTTGAAAGTATTTTTGAAAAGAGGTCATTGTTTAGGAAAACTTTTGTAATGATTCTCGTTCGTAAGAATGTATACAAAGGTGTTGATCTTTTGAAAATGTTTTGAAGTTTTGAAAGGTGCTTTAAAAGTGTAGGTGCTTGTTTTGAAAAATAGCAAGGATGTTTTTGTTTTGAAATGGAGCAAGTAACTAGGAACATTCTACCTACTCAAAAGTCTTTCATGTTCATTTTCTTTTTCCTTTGACATTGTTATCTTATCATTGATTTGGTAAGTAACCCTATCTTTGAATGCAAACGGGACAGACGTGGGTCATCGTATAACCATGATTAGCAATGTTGCAAGGTATCTTAGCATTTTTCTTTAGGGACTAAGATCATTTTGATAGGCAACTTTTGATAGCGTCATCGAGGGACTATGATCTTATATTTTGCTTGTCTTTGCTAAGATACCTCACATGCGTAATATGGTCCTTTTTGTAAGGTAAACAAGTGGATTTACCCTAAGGGTGCTTTTGTGCAAGTGTATTGATCTTCATGCTTGATTTATCTTTGGTTAGAGTTTGCTATTTGTTGGTTTTAGTCTTTCCATATAAAACCCTAATTACTAGCATTTGTATATAAAGCGATAAATTGCGGAATTTTAAATTACTACGCTATTACAATACTTAGGGGAGGGGGTGTACAAATTACAAATGGGGAATATTGCAAGAAAATTAAAACTAATTAATTATTACAACCATATTGAAATTGAATAAATGTACAAAATAAAGATGAAAATGCAAGAATATAAATGTAAAGAAATATGATTTTTGTTGTTTTTTATGAAAAGGTTTTTTTTAAATCTAATTAACTAAATTAAAATAATTAACTAAAAATAAGAAAATTAAGATTAAGTTAGTAGAATAAATTAATTTAAGGAAAGTAAGTTTTTTAGGATTTTTATTTATGAAAAGGTTTTTAAATTAGTAAGAAAATAATATGGATATTAAATAAAAGAAATATAAGTTCTAAATTGATTTTAAAAGAAAATAATATAATAAAAAAACCTAAGTCTAAATATTTATTAAAAAAAAGAAATTAATTAATTTAAGAAAATGTTTTTAGTCCTTT